TCGGCTGCACAGATAGGAAACCCCTCGGCTGACAGGATGTACCACTCTCTCACTACGCTCTCTCTCATGCAGGCGCAGAACGTACGTGCTACTTGGCCGTCGGATGTAGTCCGTGTAGTGTGTTCAAATGCAACTGACACAGGGCGACGTGAGGCGACGTAGACGACGCAACAGTTGGCTTTCATCGCCGCTAGTTCTTTGATGTTGGTTTGGTGTGCCCGCACCTTCAAGGTAAGCATACCACTGCTGTAGCTTTGCATAATGCTGTTGTGGCCCCATGACAAACCTTTGTCTTCATCATCTACTTGAGGTGTGTCTACCTATGCTTGACATTGATTGGTTCGTAGACGGGCTCTCCCATCCTCTCGCATCCCCTCCCTCTCATCATCTCAGGAAGTAACAGAATAGCCTCAGAGTTTTCACGACTGAAGTTGTCTCCTCGTCTCCCTGCGTGATATCGCAGCTCATTTTGATATGTTGAATTGTTCATGGACAAACTGAAACCTACACTGAACATTTACCACCAACTCACAGCTCTATCACTAGTTCCTTCTCTGCTCTGATCACAAACACCTGTCTGTACTGAACGCAGCCACCGACACTCTTTCTGTTACTAACCACACACACACACACACACACACACACACAAACACACACACACACAGAGGCACTACACTACTCTTACCACTTGACAATAGCCCAAAACTTCCTGTAATTAGCCCAAATGTCTGAACCATCCAAAAAATGTTTTCACACCAGAACTGAACCAAAACCCTGGTTCAATTTGATTTAGACTGAGACCACCTCTGTACATTGGAGCAAGGTTGGACTGTGGGAGATTTTACAGCTTGTTTGAAATCAAACTGCAAAGTCCAAAAGTTTGGACCAGATGAGGTAGGTGTGAGGGGGCCCTAACATGCACCACAAATAGAATGCATTTCATGGAAATCCATTCAGTACACTGGTTGCTGAAACATTTCAGCAAGTGGTGGACTGACAGACCGCCTTGGCATCCCTGGAGCCATGCCGCTAGCTTGGCTGAACACAGCTTTCAGTTTCCAGTTTATTAGCTACACCTGCACTATTGAATGCAATCCAATATTCTCAATCACATTATTTGAGCAGTAAACATCGCTGTGGCTTTTTTCTCATTAAATCTTGCATTCAGTAGTGCGATCAGAATCACCGTGTTGCAGTCCTCGCTAACAGCTGAAAGTTTTTGTTTCACCTCGGGCCATATGTCAGGGAAGGAAAGGCAGATATTCTTTATTTAGCAGAGGCAGTTTGGCAACAGAAGATGGCCATCCGGGAGTAGGTGGATCTGTGGTTTGATGCACTGCCCTTTGCTCAGTCCGTGTACCACATTTTACTGGTGTGCATAATTTAAAACAGAGGAAGCCAAAATGTAGCTGGAAATAGGCAGTGATTTTATTCATATCTGATTCCTGCATGATGAGGCTGCTTTGGAGATGAAGTAAAAAAATAATAATAAAAATAAAAATACTAGTGACAACAGGGCCACAGTCAGGATGTACAAATCCAAGTCCACACCACAAGGAAATTATGACCACTAATTATCTGAGACTGATTTTTAATCAAGAACAAAAGTCAGAGGTTTTAATACAATCAGAAACCGTCGAAGTTCCGACCGTAAATGATGCCAACTAGCAATCCGGCTGCATTTTTCCCATGATCTACTGTGCAGCGTCCTGGAAACCAAAGTCTTTAAGTAGAATGATTGCAAAAGCTGGAACCTAATACACTTTTATTATTAAGTTACAATGTGTGTAATTATTATTTTCCCAACATGAGGATCTAAAGGGGGATTTATACTTGTATTTACGCACCTGGGCTACGCCGTTGTGAGCATTTCTACTTGTGTGGTGTGTCACTTGTCAGCAGTGGAGTTTCTGTGAAGTGTTATAAAGTTTAGTTGATTCAAAACACACATTAAACACATATTAAACACATATTAAACACACATTAAACATGGCTTAATAGAGACAATTTCAAACACAAGTACACAAATCAGCTTCACTATAACTCGCAGCATTCACAGACAAACACTTGTCTCTATCTGGACACATTTTTTGTTTCTTATCTGTGAAATTAAAGTAAATCAAACCTTTGTTTCCACTGAGGGAAATGGTTTCATCTTACAGAGACAGACAGGAAGTCTGCATCTCTGTGACGTGTAATTACATTTCTGGGGAGGCCCACGTCAGGCTACGGCCTATGACACATGTACGCTGTCGATTCAATGCAGAAGTATTAATTCTGCCTAATGCAGCCCTGTACACACGGCAGGAAAAAATTCTGATGGAGAAGAACTCTGCTGAGCAATGCACTCCCGTTATGTATGACTGCCTACTACTGAGAGATTCAACTGTTCAGTCAGGTGACTGAATGGCTGCCATTTCCAGACCTTGTCACAGCTGCTAGTGATGGCCAAATAAAGCTTCATGAAACATTTTTCTGAGCCCACTAGATGCCGCTTTTTGTAGAACAAAAGGTTGAAAGTACACTGAATTGCCATTCTTTGAGCTTCTCTCTTTAAAACAGGAGCGCCATCTAGTGGGCTTAGAAAATAAAGACAATGCTTCATGAGGCTTCATTTGGCCATAACTACCAGCTACAGGTTAGTCTGTTGAACGCCAACGTTTTTATACCATTTGATCGCGGTTTTGATTTCACTTTATGATACTTTTTGATAGTCTTCTCTTTGATAAGACATGGCCAGAGGCCTCTGTTTGTACTTTGTATTCATGTCGTCCGTATTTGTGCACGTTTTCTGAAAGCTTACAGATACGGAAAAGAAGAAATTAGTAATTTGTTGAAAACAATTCTCTCTACATGTTGCAATATATTTATTGACCTCACAGACCAACGTCATTAACGATGTTGCCTCTCTTAAAATGTACATTATTTCCACCTCCTGTACTGTTTGTTGTTGTCAAAAAACTTTTGACTGCCTTCTAGTGGATGTATCCATGGCAACATAAAGGATACATGGAAGTATGCGGATAGTGACGTTAGAACATTTGAAATGAAAACGATTTTCGTTCATAGAGGAAGTATTAATAAACCTATAGTTATCTTTTCAATATCGTTAGAACTTCCAGTATTGTTGTCACAGCATCTGAATGTAATGATGCCATGAACGGGTCACAGTCTGTGGTAGTTTCAGAACACACTCCAAAAAACCCTGAGAACTCTCTCAAACTGACGTTACCACAGCATCAGCTTCAGGATGAGGCAAGTAGCCTACATATTTATGTTCAGATTGACTATCAGCAGTGACTGCAAATGAGACGAAGAAAAAATTTAAAGTACAAAATGAAGCATAGAAAATAGGTAGGCAAAAAAATTGGTTTTAAAATCGTGGAGGAAAAAAAAGCTTCTGAGATGCTGTGGGCGTGTCCGCTGAGAGAGCAGAGCCGCAGAACGAGCTGCTGCAACACAACACACATCACAGACTGTGGGTGTGTTCTGATTCGCATACTTTCCTTTTTACTCTTAGTAGATACTACAAGCAGCCGGGCAGCAGGTGAGAACAAATATAACAAATATATATTTTTGTTTTTCAGAATTAAACTAATGAAAAAGATGTGCAGTATATGTGTAATATTTTGACAACTAAATCACAATATTCAAGTCGCAATACCTTTTATTTTTAAGTCAACAAGTCGAACCTTTGACCAGTCTTCACATTCATCACCAACAGACAACTCCAGGGCTGACATATCGAGATCCAAGACACCCAAGTCCTCCATCATTTGGAGGTTTGATGGTGGTGGAAGGAGCATGCTAACATGTTTCCTAGCCTGGCAGTGATTGAATGATTTCACCATCCAGTCAAAGAGACGTCTCTGCTGGATTTGGAATTCAAGAACGGAGAACCCAGCTTAATGTGAGGGACTGGAGCCTGTGTGTGTTTGATCACAGGTGCTGGTCAGGTCACAGGACTCTCATTAATGGGTGCGGTTTTGGTTTAGACCAGGGGTGTCAAACTCATTTTAGATCATGGGCCACATACGGTCTGATTTGATCCGACTGTATAGGTAGTGATGGCCAAATGAAGCCTCATGAAGCATTTTCTTTATTTTCTGAGCCCACTAGATGGCGCTTTTTGTTCAACAAAAGGTTGAAAGCACACTGAATTGCCATTCTTTGAGCCTCTCTCTTTAAACCATGAGCGCCATCTAGTGGGCTCAGAAAATAAAGAAAATGCTTCATGAGGCTTCATTTGGCCATCACTAATCGCAGGTGGGTCCCAGCAGTAAAACAGATGACAAACAGCCTGTGATGTCTTCAGAAGAAGTCAAAATTGTTGCTGGAGCTCTTTTGACATTTTCCAGTGTTTCCTCACTCTCCATGCGCCTCGTGAATCGGTGAAATTGTGTCAGAAACCACTTTCTACTTCATGTCTTCATTAGGAAAAAAGCAATTTCAACATTTCTCTGTTATTCCTCAGTCAGTCGACTACTCTAAATCATTACATGTGCATTTTTTCATACATTTCCACTCCTGTGTAGTAGTCCTGACACCACACCAAACCAAAATGAAAGACCTGTATTATCGTCTAAGTGGAAAAGCCTCTGAAGCCGCAGTTAACATGAAGAACGCTACTCAATGTTTAACTTGCTCCTGAAACCTGGCACCTGTTAGCCTTTACAAGTGCATCCCTGTTAGGTGTGAAAGGTCATCCAGTGGGCTGGATTGAACCCTCTGGCGAACTGGTTCTGGCCCCTGGGCTGTATGTTTGACACCACTGACTTAGACTTCATGCCAGGTAACGGGTCGGTTCTGGTACTGAGCTTTGCGGGTATGCGCAGGTGCTGATTTTCAGAAACCTCTGCTCCATGGCATTCTGCATCTTACAGTGTGGCTTTCATCGGCTCAACATATGCCATTATCCATCTATGCTTGCGTATGAAGCAATTTCACTTACAGATACTCCAAAGCTGGCAGTGGCACAAAATGCAGAAAGCTTGGAAAAATAACAAATGAGGCCATTTATGTAATTGATAAAAGGTGTGAGAGCAAGTAGATAGATCAGACAGATTGTCAGGAGAGCGGAGGCCCTTAGAGACTGATTAGAAAATAGGCAACTACCAGAAGAGAGAAGAGCAAGACATCAAAGGAATAGATTGTGTCAGTTGGCAGGGTGGGAAACGCATCAACAAAATGTACTTCTTGTCCTGTGAATTAGTACCATCAGAGGGCTCAATCTGGCTTATTAGAGCTTGTTTTCAAGTGGCTCCAAAATGAATTTTGGCTTCTTTCCCACCCTGGGACTGAAGATGGTTTCAGAAGTGAGCAGAGCAGACAGAACAGAGGAGAGAGACAGAGGAGGTGAATGCAGAGCTACAGAATCGTTTTATTTAGCATGCTACAGACGTAATGCAGAATACACGAGAGACCATGAGAGGGAAAACTCAAAAAGCAGGAAACCAAGGCGCACCTCACCTTGTTAGAAAATAATTCATCCTTTAATTGTGCCTCTTCAGATCTAAACCAAGTCCTTACATTTTAATCTGTAGAAAATCTGAGAAAAAAAAAATACACATAGCTATTATTTCTGAAGAATAACCTTGAGTCATAAGGTCCTGTTGGGCCGATTAAAAAAAAACGGGATTAACTCTCCACTTAAAAGTCTGGGTATCAGTGTGTTCAAATGCTTTTTGTTAAAATGAATTCAAAGGAACACTAAAGGCACAGAAACTTTGGTCCAACTGAGTAGCCCTCTCGAGTAAACTGTCACATGACAATGAAATCACAGTGGACTCATCTTCTAACTGCTCGTACAGCATGCAACACTTTCTGATGTGAGACCCTACCATAACTAGACATGCTTAGAAAACCATTGTCACTGACAATTACATCTCACTGCTATGGAAAAAAAAGCATGGAAGGCTTCAAAAACACAAATAAAGAAATACTTAGCCACGAGCCACATCATGATATGTGACGGGTGAATTCAAAACTGGGGGAGAACGATCTTACACTCGACATACTTGTGGAATAATGGAATTCAAGTTAAGCTCCCTGTCACAACTCATACGTGTTGCCTCGGGAAAATTGTCTCCTGCTGCTAAACTAAAAGGGAAAATGTTATGAATCTAAAACAAAACAAGCTTGGCCTGGTTGGTGGCACAGCTTCGAAAATGTCTAGAGGACGACAAAACATTCTCACTAACCCCCCAAAATATCCAATACCAATGTGCCTCAAAAGCAAAGGAGCAATTCATGAATGTGTCCAGCTGTAGAAACAGTTCATATTGTCAAGTAAGGCACATAAGTACTGTATCTTTTCAACTAAATAAAGAATTCAACACTGATCTACACCTAACTATCTTACAGGGGGACAATCAATCATGTCATTGTTTTGCTTGACATAAAAATACAGAGGTACCAATAAGAATTGCTGGGAGGATCCAGTATCTCTTTTTAAAAAAAGGATGCAAGTCAAAAATTTCAGTCTCTCTCAAGGAATGACAGGATCAACAAAACCCCAACAACAAAACTGATTTACTCAATGTGGTCCCCCCCCCCCAGTGTCCAGACACAGTCTGAAAGGTTTCTGACCACCAGCTCCGAGACACTGAACCCTGGTACTGTGGCTCAGATTGTTTAAATGGTGGACTTGGAGAAGGAGACTCTCAGGTGCTGGTTGCCTCCCATGTTGTAGTTGTGAAGGTCAATCAAGGCCTGGATGGCCTCTTCCACTGTTGACATCTGGATCAGAGCCATTTTGCGATCCCTAAGAAAATAAGACAGTTAAAGAACCACAGGAACAAACTCTGCTCAGATACAACACAAACCTAACACTAAACTAGTACAAGAATCAATCATCGATCAGAGGCGGGTCTTCAACGGTATCATGTTGTCGGGGCCCGTTCTGTGAGTACATGATTTATTTCACAGCAGGATAGGTCTACGTACTGGAAAAACTTGAATGCTTTCACAGTGCCTCCAGCGTTGGAGAAGAGCAGCCGCAGGTCATCCTCCGTCACATCTTGTCTGTTGAAATAAAGGTCACCGATTACAGTCTGGAAGGAAGTTCATGCGTTTAATGGCACAGTCTCAGACTTTGCTGTCAACACTTTCCAGAGGGACTCATTTTTGTTGACAGTGACGTCTGTGGATTATCCCCCCGCTAACATTTCTGATGTTTTTTTGTAGTTTTTCAATGCTCTCACAAAAGTCCACTGACCTCCACTGTGCTGAGGTTGACGCAGACCTTGATCTCCAAACCTGGAACTACAATTACCACCCCCTCGTTTGTATGTCTCCGCACACCACAGTTTCTCTTACAGTTTACATCCATGTCAGTCAGCACAGTTTCAAGATCAGAGTCACCAATTACGTATCTGACCAACTGTCTCCTCTTCGATTCCTGAGATATGACGTCCTGTAATAGTCAGAAAAGTTTTGCAGAACATGATGATGTCACAGTGAAGCTGACCTCTGACCTATTGGATATAATTTTAATAATTTGTGTGAAGGTTTGTCATAATTAGCGTATGAATTCTTGGGTTTTGGACAAAAACATGTTTTGTGAGGTCACAGTGACCTTTGACCACAAAAATCTATTCAAGTCATTGTTGAGGGGGACATTTGTGCCAAACTTGAAAAACATCCCTCAAGCGTTCATGAGATATCATGTTTACAAGAATGGGACGGGCGGACGGATGTAAGTATGGCACATATGATCTGACTGCCCTGGTACTTACGGGATGTTGGAGAGGTGGAGGGTGGCCGACGGCGGGAAGATGTTCTGGAAATTCTTGGAGCCGGGTTTCTTGAAGCGATGAAGTGGGGAGTTGGCATAGTCTTTGGTCAGGCCCTGGTCGTCCAGGCCGTCGCGAGGCAGCGCCACAGTCTGGTGTTTGGACAGCGTCACCCGGATGATCTTCCCGTACATCTTCTGGCCATTCAAGTGGCTCATTGCTTTAACAGTGGCAAAGGAAAGGAAGGCCAGTGAGGAGGAAGCTGCAGCAGCCTGTTGTGGTATTCACTAGTGATGGCCAAATGAAGCCTCATGAAGCATTTTTTTTATTTTCTGAGCCCACTAGATGGCGCTTTTTGTTCAACAAAAGGTTGAAAGCACACTGAATTGCCATTCTTTGAGCCTCTCTCTTGAAAACATGTGCGCCATCTAGTGGGCTCAGAAAATAAAGAAAAGGCTTCATGAGGCTTCATTTGGCCATCACTAGTATTCACTGGCAATACTAACTGAACCCCATGAGGGAAAAAATAACTTTCACAGGAATGAATGGGGGCCAACCTCCGATGCTGTATCGAGTTGTCTTAATACATTCGTAGACATGACTCACCAGCAGTTCATCACAATTAGTTAATGGAAAACTGTGTCACTTCTGTATTTTTGAGAGTAATTATTGAGTAATGTGAGGTGCCGTAAAACAAAGGTCCTATTTCCTAAATGTGAAATAAAGTGCTTTGATCTGGTTTTGTACATAAGGATCAAATTGTCAGTTGGCTCCCAAGTACAACACTAAGTAACAAGGGCAAATTCGCAGGAGCTGCAAACACATGCATGCATCCACATGTTCATGCATTCACTCCAACACAAAGACGAACCAACAGAGTGACCTGTAGAGCAGTGGTTCCCAACTGGTGCAGTCACAGGGTCCAGATTTCTCCTCAGTCATTAGTTCAAGGTCCAAACTGTTTAATATACATTCAGCATCATAATTGTGTTCGACCGTGTCTTTGAGTTTGTTTGTGGTCTCTGTCAAGCAGCTGTCTGTTAGTCACTTGCTCTGCAGCAGGAAACAGCACTTCAAAATAAAAGCTCTGTGCCGGAAATTCACTGTACTACAAACTTGATACCTTTGCTGATAATATACAGTCCATTCAGAAGGGACCAGCGACCCACCAGTTGGGAACCACTGCTATAGAGTAACTTTTGTAAGTGACAGTGAAAAAACAAGGTGTTTATTTCTTGATTGTCTTGTTTCTTCCACTGCTAACTGAAACTGAAAAGTCAAAAATTGTGTTACTATAATGTCTCATATCTGTAATAAGTATGGTTGGATGCAGCAGTGACTCCCTTGCAAAGGACGAAGGCCCCGGACAAACACAGCCACCAGCATCACAAGACAATTAGACGTGAACGACTGAAGTGGATGCCTGTGACATCTGCTCACCCAGCTGGGCCTGATTGGCATCTGACATCTGAATGAGAGCGCTGTCCTTCTTATTGTAAAGGATTTTCACCCTCTGGACATCGCCGTACACTCCTGCGTTAGAGCCACAGGCAGGCAGGAGGAGAAGAGGTGGAGTGGAGAGAAAGCAGACAGTTAGAAAAAAAAACAGAAAGTTAGCATCGGAGACAAGGATATTTGAAGACAAGAAACACAGAAGAGAGACTAGCAGAGTACACACAAGAACTTTACAGTAGACTTTTAGAGTGAGAGTTGTGTAGAAAGAAGAGGGAAAGAGAGAAGAGACACCCTCTAAACAGATAAGTTATCAAGCTGTGTCAGATGGCTACAAATTAAAACAGCATGCAAAATAATGACTTAAGCGTGCATTAACTGATTACTACATAGGGAAGTATAGGGGCAAAGTAATGGACATTAACCCAAACCAATAAACAGGGGGCCAAAATGTATTACTGATTACTCAATAAGCTGCTGTGCGCAAACAAATATACATAAGCCTTTGATAATAACAATAATAATAATAATAATAATAATAATGATAAATGTCTCAAAGATAGAATGAAAATAGAACAAAAAGAGTAGGTAGAAGAAAGAGAGAAGGAGAGAAAGAGAAAGAGAGAGTAGGAGAGAGGAGAGAGAGAGAGCTAACGATAACATACCGAAGAGGGTAAACAGACTTTGGGGCGTAACCATCTTTAGAGGGAGAGAAGAGCAACAAGCAGCGTGAGACAGGTAGAGAGGTAGAAGAGTCGGAGCGGAGCGGAGGTAGAGATGGACAGATCAATCCAGAACGGTAGGTAGGAGGAATGGTGGTTTTTGTTTTCCCCCCGGAGAGTGATGGAGGTGGTGGGTCATGGAGGAGGGGAGCAGGCGGCGAGAGAGGAGTCATGGAGGGGAGGAGGGAGGTTCGTTAATGTGGGAGGAGGAGGAAGAGGAGGAGGTGGAGGAGGAAGAAGGGGGCGATTTGAGGGGATTAAAAGTCCCCCACCGGCACGTGGAGTGGAGGGAGGAGGCAGGATGGATGGAGGGGGAGAAGGAGGGGTGGGGGTAGAGAGAGAGATAGAGAGAGAGAGAGAGGGGGAGATGAATAGGGAGGCAAATGCAAATTGGGGGAAAAATAAAAAAACAAAAATAAAAAGTGAGGAGGGGGAGGGACAAAAAATAAAATATAGGTCAGTACACTGGAATAATGCAGGTAGTTTGGTCAGAGATAATGGCTTGGATCAATGTTCTCTTTAGTCAAAATACAGCAAATAACTTGCGCCAAAATGTCTTTCACCCTGGACAAGCATGGGGAAAAGGTACATTCATGTCAAAATCATAATAAAATCAGCAATATAAAGTCATAACCATGGGATAAAAACAACATGCAGCAGGTCGGAAGTCTGAAGATATACAATCTTTCAGCGAGGGAGAATGGTAGTACAAGGATGTGAGAAGCTGAGGGGAGAAAATTAGTTAAGAGACCATGCAGTTCAAATTTTGTTTCCAAGTACAATTAGGCATGCAAGAGTTGATGTGAAGGCCACTTAGGTGGCGTTCACACAAGTCTGAGAGGCTAAAAGAAAGATTAAGCACAGTATCTTAACATCAGGTGTTTAGTTTGAATGGTTGAGATACTGTCAAAGGCTCCGCTATGACACATTCATTCACAGCCAGAGAGAACAGACTGATGAGGAAAGAGACAGAGACATTAGGTGAGACAAATTAGATGCTATTTAAGTCAGTCAAAAAAAAATGCAGAGGAAGAGGGAGAGAAGCGTTTCAGAGAGGCAGGTATTTGTTCCCAGACACAGGTTAGGAGACCACAGAATGATTTCATATGAGCTTTCATATGAGCTGAGGAGAGGTGAGGAGAGCTTAGAGAGAAAAACAGAAGAGAGACAGTTAGCTGAGTTAGGTACAGTTTGACAAGAGGAGGAAGGGGCAGAACATCGGAGGGGGAAAGAGGGGAGTTTGGTGCAGTGACAGAAATCCCCCTCTCTCATACAGGAACATAATGAGTCTTGACCAAAAGTTTAAAAAAAAGTAAAAACAGCAAGGTTCTGGGTATGTATGAGACACTAGAAGAGCAAAGAAAAAGGTTAGACACTTTATTTTTTACTTCATATCAAAACTAACTGGAATAACAAGAGGTCCAACCGTCTCTTCTAAAGAGGTGTGGAATTTCAGGTGACGTCAAATGTCCCCTGGGACACTTCAATGATTAGACTTCATAAATCAAACCACACCTAACAGCTCTAAGGTTCAAAAATATTCTGTAAATATCTAAAAAACAATAATCAAGTAATATCCTCTACTTTTTATGGCTGACACATTCTGGCCGGTTGGTTGGTCAATATGCTCTGGTCCTACAAAATTCTCACTAGTCGGACAATGTGTCCACCAAAGCGTTTCTTTTCCCAGCTGTAAGTGCAGTTGTTTTTCGGCTGTAGATGTCCTCTGTGACGATTGGTTGTGATGGCCAAATGAAGCCTCATGAAGCATTTTCTTTATTTTCTGAGCCCACTAGATGGTGCTTTTTGTTCAACAAAAGGCTGAAAACACACTGAATTGCCATTCTTTGAGCCACCCTCTTTAAATCCGGATCGCCATCTAGTGGGCTCAGAAAATAAAGAAAATGCTTAATGAGGCTTCATTTTGCCATCACCAACGACTGGCCTTTGTGGCACTTGTCCCACCCCATCTCCACTGTGACTGGACGGCTGGTGCCAGTTACGAGCGCAGCGTTTTCAACTTTCATTTTTAACCAGAATAAATAATATAAAATAAAATAAAAATCACAGAGGACATTCAGTGTCAGATTTATCTTTATGGATTTATTTTACTAAGTCTCCAAAAAGAAGCTGCAGTTAAGGGCTGGATTATAAAGCTTCTGAACAGGATCACACTGGAGCCTTTGTTGGAGCAGTGCAATGGCTAACATTAACTACTGGGCTAAAAACAGTACGTCTCTCTCACATGCAGTGTTAAGGCCCAAACACACCACACTGACTTAAGAGAACTAACAGTGATGAAGGCCCCCTGCTGCATCGCCCGACATTGCCGTGTCTCAGCCAAAAAGTTGTACATGTACACACCACTAAGATACAGCTGACAGCCAGCATGACTATTCTGCACCTGCATGAGAGGAAATAACTCCTCACGTGAGCAAATGGCAGTGGACTGTATTAGTCATTCAGATAGGGCAACTAGAAGACCATCATGGCGCTAGTTAGCCAGTTAGCACATTAACAACACAATCCAATGTTGAAAGAACAGAGCATATTTACTGAGCACAAGTGAACAAAAACACAAACCATTAGGAAACATTTCTGTTAAAGAGCTTAATGGATAAAGAAAAATAATCTGACCTAATGAACTACGTTTGTTTTGGTCTCACTCCCTCTTGACTTTGTTTACTTTCCTCACTTCTGTTTCTTTTCTCATGTGCTGAGCTGAACTGCCAATCAGAGTTTTCATTCACCAACAGGTTCTGCGGTCGCTAATTCAACATGCTCAATTGGCTGAAAAAGTAGCGATGGCCAAATGAAGCCTCATGAAGCATTTACTTTATTTTGTGAGCCCACTAGACGGCGCTTTTTGTTCAACAAAAGGTTGAAAGCACACTAAATTGCCATTCTTTGAGGCTCTCTTCAGAAAATAAAGAAAATACTTCATGAGGCTTCATTTGGCCATCACTATGAAAAAGCCAACGAGGAATGACAAGGGGTAATGGTGCGGGACATACTGTACTGACTAGGGTGACAGATTGTAACTCAGATCCACAGCTCAGATGGACACTCCCAGCGTTACAGTGCCCAGTTTATTATGAATATCACATTTATTTTTGCCTTGAGACATCCCACTGGTCTGAAAACTTCCACTCAGGGCAAGTGATAATGTCGAGCTCTGTGACGGGGGGGGGGAAAAAAAAAAAAAAAAAAAAAAAAAAAAAAAACCGCTTTGGTGGACACAAGTAGAGTGCGCTCAGTGCACTGTGGTCATGTAGTTCATCTAGAAACAACGTGCTGATTTCTTTTTTCTGCCCATCGACCAACTGCTTGAAGGGTAGGTAGAATTTCAGTCAACCAAGATTTTCTTTGGTTGTTTGAAGCCCTACGACGTCTCTGCCACAGATTTTATCAGCCTGACTACAGAAAAACATTTTGTAGAATCAAAAGCTCAAACAAATCTACAGGTGCACAAAACCACCCTCTCATTCTTAAGGAATCTCACATAAGAGTTGTTTCTCTGCTTTCTTATTTTGAGAGTTCCTAACATTCGCATAAAAGCAGAATAGTCCAAAATCATCCAAGTGTTAGAGCTAAATATGTTAAATTAAGTAGTTTAGTTAACGTGATTGTGTTCTCAGGTCAAATGTGTACAAAACATCCCACCATGGACCTTCCTAACGTGACCTCTATGACAGACACTAGACAATGAAAATAGCAGCACAAGAAGGACTACTGGCCATAATGAGGAAATAAAAAAACAAACAAAGAGAGGGATGAAGGTGGTGGGTAGGGGTGGTGGACTTTAAGCCTTAGATGGTCCATCTGACTGGTGTCTATGCAGGTGTGTTACTGACCTCCTCATTAAGGTTGCTGACCAGCAGGACCCCACTGGACCCCGCCTGCCCAGCTAGGGCCACCCTCCCTGCAGCAGCAGCAGCCGCCGCTGCCGCGCTCAGAGGGTTCAGGGCTCCTGACGGGAGACAGACAAGACAATCATGGAATGGAGAGCAGCACTTCCACTAAACCACAGCATTACAACACTGAGCAAGGATGCAACTTTTAAACCAGCCCCAAATGACTGATACTCTCTATCAAGCAGCAGCAGCCACCATTCAGTATTCATTAAACTGTTTAAAAAACACAGCGCTTACAAATTATTCAAACCTGTCCAGATTCTGATCAAAATGTCTCAGGAGAATAAATTCAGCCAGTTGGCACAAACAACAACAAGATAAAAAGAAGAAAAATAAAAGTGTGATCTACCTGGGATCTTACCGAGGAGGGAGTTGGAATCTTTGGTGAATGCAGCGGCCACCGAGGGGTCGAGGCTGGGCTGGCCGTCACCAGCAGGCAGCTCAGGTCGTGTGTAGTCGCGGCTCTTATCATTGTTGTACTTGACATTTAGGTTGACCAGCTTGGAGAAGTCGATTCGCAGCGTGCAACATGAATTGTAGATGTTCTGACCATCGAGTGCCTGGTGGGAGGAAGGAAGTCATCACACACAGTAGCCTATGTTCAGCTGTTTGGTATTGCAAACAGTAAACCAGACAGTAGGTGATGAATAATAAAGATGCATAATATGACTAGTGGAAGCTGTAGGTATACGACTGCTTACCAGTTTGGCTTGCTGTGCATTGACAGGATCGCTGAACTGCAGAAGAGCCTGGAACTGATTGTTCTTGGTGAATGTGATTATCTTCATGACTGTACCAAACTTGGAGAAAATCTGCAAACAAAAGAATAAAAATAAAAATAAACACAAACTTCAACATTTAAGCACAAACAGTGGATATTCTGTCACATTCCAACTGATTCGTCCCATACCTGTTGCAGTACATCCAGCGTTACAGGGTAGAACATGTTGTCGATGATGATCCGCAGCACAGGACTGGAGGCCGCGGCCAGAGCCTCCTGTACATCTGAGCTTGGTGACCCGCCAGACTGGACTGCCGACACTGCCTGAAGCACCGCCTGGGTCCGCTATGGCCAAACACAAGCTGTCAGCCACTATCATCAATGGGGCTCAACAGACAAGATGGTGACCCATTTCTGTACTTAATGTAATTAAACTGCAAACATCTAGAAGGTAGCCTCTATGGTTGTTGGTTGGTTTCCGCAGTTATGTTGCATTGCTTGGAAGATTATCACAGTGGATTACTGTTGCAATTTTATTACACACAACAGAATTCCATGACTTTTCCAGGCCTTAAAAATGTGTCTGCGAAATCCCATGACTTTTCCAGGTTTTCCTTGACCATGGGAACCCTGTTCAAGGTATTAGACATTCAAACAAAAGGCTCTAGTTCTCAGTCAAATACTAAGGGCCCCGACACACCAAGCTGACAATAAGTGAGCCGTCAGTGAGCATCTGTCACCCTAGTTTTTGTGGTGTGTCCTGCACTGGAGGCACTGGTGGCACTTGTGGCCCTTGTCTGCTGTTTTTCAGTCGATTCAGTGTGTTAAATTGGTTGTAGAACCCGTCTTTGAATGAAATTACTCTGACAACGGGACAAACGGAAGTGAAGAAAGCGAACAAACAACTGAAGTCAAGAGAGTGAGAGACTGAAGCAAACTTGTTATATTAGAAAACAATATGTCTGTAGATGCATTGCGATGCATGCGTGGACGATCCGGCATCAATGCACAAATGCCAATAATCAGTTATCTAAATGTTGATTAATAACGTGGTGTTGAAGGAACTAAAAAAGGGGAACTCCACCGCGATGTCAGTGTAGGACCCAGACAGCCTACAGTGAGGACACGTAAGAGTTAACTTGTAATTCATCTTCACAAAATGCAGCAGTTGCAAACTTGTTTTAATGTAATGTCTGAATAATGTATGAATCAAATGTAATTACATTTGAGAGGCAAACATGAAGTTTACAATGAAGACCTGCTTACGCCATTAGCCAGAGACTAACATGAACAAGCGGAGTAAGGATCAGCACGTAAACTGCCTGACTAACACATGCTGCAGCACTGACTGCCTTAAAACACCTCTGTGGTGAAGAAAATAACCCTATGATCAGTCTGTTTCAACTTAAGAACCCTGCCCCTGGCCTGCTCAGCGTCTTGGCTTTCAGCAGAGCTATCGGAGAGAGAGAGGATGCTCGCAGCTCCAATGTATACAATGTAAATAACAACAGAGCAGAGCTGTGGAGCGCTCCGCCTCATGTTAGTCTTATACACACAGGGGACTGTAGGATGCTTTCAAATTAATCAATTCATTCATTAATGCAGTTAACTTTTTAAAATAAAAATATGCCGATCATATATTATCATGAACTGCAAACTGTTTCCAGTGAAATATAACGGTATGCAAACACTGGACCCTATGCAGGCATGTGTATATCCCACGACTGATTAGCATGAGCATCTGCAGATGGATACAATCTGACTGGTTCAAAAGCCCGGGTATGGAGGTGGGTTAAAGAGAAAAGGGACCTGAACAAGAGCCACAGTGTATGCACGTAAACTCATCTGTTTTTTTTAAATTATGGATCACTACAAACACAGTATGCCGTGTTTTTAAAAGTATCAAGTTGTAAATCAATTATTGTTCCTAACTCACAGCAAATACAAATTGTTCTTCAAACATCAGGTTGTGTTATGTATGTGCTAACTGGCGTCTTGAATCCGTCCTGTCTGTCTTCTGGACAAATACAGACTACTCCTCTCACACAGGTACTGATAGCCAAATGAAGCCTCATGAAGCATTTTTTTATTCTATGAGCCCACTAGATGGCGCTTTTTGTTCAACAAAAGGTTGAAAGCACACTGAATTGCCATTCTTTGAGCCTCTCTCTTTAAACCATGAGCACCATCTAGTGGGCTCAGAAAATAAAGAAAATGCTTCATGAGGCTTCATTTGGCCATCACTACACACAGGCGCAGAAATTACGTGCTGACTGACTGTTGGCTGAAGTTGTTCTGACGTGTTCTAGCGTAAGTTTTGGCTGAGATAAAGGTGACACAAGACAAAGGAACAGTCGGCCTTCGTCGCCACTAGTGCGTTGATGTCAGTTTGGTGTGACTTATGCACAAAAGTAGTTGCCGTATATCATAAGTATGCTTATTAATGAAATGGGTGTTTGGTTTAAATAAAAACCTGAAGCAACCCTTGACGGAATATCCGGAACACAGTGATCTGTTAGTCTGGCTCTACTCACCTGGTTGCCAGCATCAGTTTTGAGTTCTTTGTGATTGGAGTACTGAATAAAGACAGGGACATTGCGGATATGAGGAGTCACAGTGGTGTAGTAGTTCACCATAGTGATGGCTGCCTCCTCCGTCCCCATCTCCAAAAACGCCTGAAAGAGGAGAAAAGAGAAAGCAAAGCTCTTATAAATTAAATAAAATTCCTCATCAGATGAAGTAGTTTCCACTAAATATGGAAAAAATCTTCCAACTATTTTCACTGAATTATGTAAAGTAATTTTAGATATCCTGTGTGTAACAGACAAACAGGCCAAAACACACAGCCTCTGTGCCTGAGGTCACTGCTGCAAAGTGTACATCAGAGTGAATTGTGATTCACCACTGTGGTGGCAACAGATAAGTTATCAGACCAGCACAGATGAAGCTGTCTGAACATGGAGATGATGCAGTTGCTGATCGATCATGACTAGCCGACACACCGTCATCGGTACTGTGAGGAGAACAAAGCAGCTCTACTTGACAGGAATCTAGGGGACAAATGCCAAGTATCTCCTACATTCCTCCTCTGCACCCAGACAATAGGCCTTTGGTCAGCTTTTGTATGAGGCTGTGGGCATGTTTCAGATGCAGTGCAAGATAACACGACCGGATGAGTCCAACTGCTCGTGACACAATCAGATGACAGTGGACACTTGACAGGTCGAGGCAGAAAAAAGAAATAAGATCTGACACTCCACTGTTCCAAAGAAAACATCATCTAAAACTGAAGTCTGACAATTGTTGCGTGGTTCTTACGAATACACCTCAACTTCAGTTTCTTCGACTCACCTGGTTTTTTCCCTTAAGTGTGAGGATATTGGTGACTTTGCCAAAAGGCAAGCCGAGGGCGATGACTTCTGTCTCTGAGGCCTCATTGGGCAGTTTCCTGATGTGGAGCACACGAGACGGTGGGGCCTCCTCCACCCTCAGTTTTTTACTGTCACTGCCGTTGGACGCCCCATCTGAAAGTTTAGCATAAACACTTATTAACTGTGCTAATCAACGCAATGATAGCAACTGTGACTTGAAGGATAAAGCTGGTGATATACTGTATTTTTGTTGTGGTCAACAAATCTCACAAAAAGGCCAAAAGCAATGTCTTTTCAGTCCATCTTTAAATCTCTAGGCCAGATCATAACAACGTGTCAGCCTGTCTGTCTCTCAGTTCCTTTTCTCAGCCCAAAGCCCACTGGGTCCAACTGACGAGATCATCCTCATGACTATATACAACCATGAAGGTAAACTTACAGCTCAGTAATTTCCTAAAACAGCCGGCTAATGTCATTTTTAGCAAATGTTACTCAAGCAGGAGCAAATAGTGCACTTGACAGGGACTATTTTCAGCCCCTTTAAATATGGACTGATCCATATTTGGTGATCTAATGATTATTTGGGGCAGCAGGACAGTGTGTGTGAGTCAAAATAAAGTAGAGTGTGTGAACATAGGACCCAGGGCAACAATGTGACTCACTGATGTGTTTGGAATAGTTTTGGGATAACAGAGGAAAAAGATATATCAGGCTTTGAAGACACACACAACACTTGTTAGAGTTTTGGGTGTGCATGTGAGATTTGTTCCTGGGTGTTAATATCAGCTAATGTACTGTATATTTAGACACACAATATTTTCATGTTTGCATGTTAAGTGCTGTGAGTGCTGATTTTCTTGGACCCTCACTGCGTTGCTTCATGTGTTCTCTTTATAGCCCTCAGCGTTAGCCTGCTGATGACGAAGGGGAAGCCTGGACTCTGAATTCTTTTAATCTACATAAGCACTCAGTTGTACTAGAGCTCTGATTCTCAGCCTGAGCTCTATCAGGCCTGATTTGACCTGCTGGGTTGGAGCCTGGTCGGGCTGTTATTTCTCATTATTCCACAGGGCTTGAATCGGGTCATGTTCTTAACAATTTATCTTCTTATTTTTGTAATGAAACTGGCAGTTGTCGTGTGTAAATGGGAAGAGTTTTAATGGACTGAATCGAGAGGGAAAGAGACAGACAGAAAGAGGAAGGGACTGGAGAACATGGGGAGAAAGACAATGCACACAAGAGAGGGACGGAAAACGAGGGAGGTGAGGCTGAATGGCGACTTGGTTGGCAGTGTTTGCCTCTGCTTCCCCAGCTTTGGGAGAGATATGCGAAAAGAGTGGTGACCATCACCTGGAGTCGTATCAACGTGGACCACTGCACACAATGAGGGCTCATTTATAATCAGTGTGAGACATGGACGGAGCATTCTGTCCGTACATTGCATTCGTTTTATCTCTCTTAATGTACGTTTCTGAAATCTTACAAATATAGATCAAACGGAGCAGTACCACCACAGATCACACAGTTTAAGCGAGATGTCCCCGTAAGAGACGACAAAGAAATTTAAATAATGGCAGAACGGAACAAATTGGTGATATAGTGAAAACAATTCTCCATCCACATGTCTGGATGTATTTAATGGCCTCACAGACCACCACTGTCTACAACGCCACCTCTGTTTAAAGATACACTATTACGCCTTCTCCACCATCGCTTCATTTTGTGACATTTTTGACTCTTCCCTCTGGCGCCATATATTGGCTGTATCTATGCCAACATAAAGGAAGCACAGAAGTATGAGAGCAGTGATGTTTACAATGTCTAAAATGGACGCGTCTATTTTTGTGCGTAAAGGGAGTAAAAATTTGTCCTCAGACACACGACGAGCGCAGCACACTCTGCTAAACCTGTAATGCACAATTGAGGAGAAGGAGGAGAAGTGGTGCGAGGAAACACACCTTAGCTTGTAAAACATTTTTTAATATTTTCAAAATATATAATATATGAAGAATTTTTTTTCCAACAGTAGAAATGTGGCTTTGTTGTCAGGCTAGGGCTCAAAACTGCTGTCATGGTTCAGGCTTGGGCAGAAACAGTGCAGGGTCACTTAGGGTCAGGGCTGGGGTTTTTTTTTTTTGGACCCGATTGGTTTTAATATGCACAACAGCCCTTTGTCCAGTTACCATGTTTGGACATGTTTTTTTTTTTCTCTGTGAGAATGTATAATTTCACATTAGGGCCGTTATGAGAACTGATACTTTGGTACAAAATCGATGCCAACACGCAAAAAATATATCGTTACCTGTTTTTTTTTGTTGTACCATAAGTACCGGATACAACTTCGCCCTCAGCGAGCCGTGTCAATTCCTGTCGGAACTGACGGGGGCAGTATACGCGCGTCAGTCTGTGCCGAGGACGAGCGCCGAAGAAGAACACCTGTTCTCCATCGTCTTGGCTGGAAACAATGGTTTCTACAAGTGCTGCTGGAGCCACCACACCTCAGCTTGTTAAAAAGTCAGGTAGTAGGAGTCGTGTGTGGAGATATTTTGCATTTGAGGCAGATGAAAGCGGAGTAATTATAAACTCGCAAAAACCAATGTGCGAACGGTGCCTTCGAAGTTTCCAGGCCAAAGGAGGAAACACTTCAAACCTGACTGAACACTTACAACACAGACACCCTGACTTGTTTAAAGAATTCAAGGTGAGTGAGTTTCAATTTACCATCACGTGTGTTACGTTATACTTATCCTGAAATATACGTTACGTGATTTGGGTTTGAGAGCCAGCTTACTACGTTTATAGGGGCGGCTACGAGTACTCGCTACCTCACATTATAACTTACCCTGGAACAGATGGCTAACATTATGCAACGTTAACAATACCATCTTTAACATTACTTAACGTTGCGTTTCAAGCAATTATTATCGGACTAATTGTCCGTCACCATATCAGTGAATTCAAAGTTTGTAGTAATGAACTTACAAATACATGAGTTCTGTTTTTTGATTTTTATCGTGGTATCGAATGAGTATCGAGAATCGTGGAAATTCACTGGTATTGCTATCGACTACTGAAATTCTGGTATTGTGACAAGCCTATGGCACATGCTGACTGCTTTCATATGCAGGACTGGCCTTGCAGCTTACATGCAGGGCGTCATCATTTATGTGTCGTCTATCAACTCAAATTCAGTCGATTCAAATGCCAAATCATGTCAGCTCTCAACTCAAACATGTGACTGAGAGACATTTCTCTCACGGCACAAAAGAAGTGCCTCTGAACTAAACAGATAGCTAATTGCAGCTTAAGTCGCTGCCCAGGGATACCTAGCTCTCACATGGAAGCATTTCATTTAGGAATTATTTTAAACTCTGAAGCAATCTGACCTCATCCAGGCCACCATCAACCGTCCATGGAGTCAGACCCAGAGCCCAATGTATGAGCGTGCACGCTGACGGGAATTTGGTGGCAGAACATCTTCATCTTGTTATACAACATAGTGAGAACGTATATGTCAATAGCAGAGCCATGTACTCTCACCTATTTCTTCTTACTACTGTTACATTTTGCACTGGTCAAATACAACCACTGTGAAGCTTGGTTTTCTTGAAAACAGAAATAATGACGGCGCATGAATAATCTTGATGCTAAAAGATTCAGTGTGCTGAGAGTGCACGCAGCAGTATTTGCCAGTCAAACTACCACAAAATGATTTATAATTCTGTTTCGTAGCACAACACCCAGCCCACTCATGCTAAAGGTTAGAGGCTATCTGTTACGGATCCTTCTTTTTTTTTTTTTTTTTTTTTTAAAGCTATCATAGCAGTACTGGGAAATCCTGCACTCAAAGAACCATCAATCCACCCCTGCATGATGGGTTATTTAAGATCACCAATGGCTGATGTTGTGAAGCTCCCTAAATAAAGGCAGTCTGAGAATCTTTATCTCACTTTATTGGACGGGTCCCTGGGGTGACATTAGCTTGGAAACAGGGTGTTGTGTAGCAGAGGTTGACTGGGACTTTGATTAAAGACCTTTGTGTTTGCCTTTACATTGTTCTTATGTTGTCGGCAGAGAGTTTAATAGCCTAACTTTGTGGTGGCATGACCAGCTCTTTGAGTCATCTTTTATTCTGCAGTTTTCTGAGATGCTTCTGATAACTTCTCAACAGTGAGAAGGCATTACAATGCAGTGGTATCCACTATGTCTGTGCTAGTCACATGTTACTGTGTGTGGGTGCCCACCTACTGAGGAGCGTGATGTTATTCAGACACTAAATAGCTCCCGTGGGAAAACGGTTCAACTCATGCAGCCTGTTTCGCTTTTCAAACACCTATTAATCCTTTGATTCCTTTTAATACGGTCTGTCACTACCGATCAAACTGCTTCCTGCAAATTCCGTCAAGACCCTCCCTATTCAAGGGTGGTCGGAACGAACTCACCACTGATACTGCTCATGCCAGAGTTGGGACTGTTGTACATACTCAGCTCGTCTGATCCTCTCTGCGGAAAGAAAGACAAAGGCAGACAGTCAGGCACAGTTGTGAAATAATGGGGGAAAACTATTTCCATTTTCCAGACAAGCCCTCAAAGACAACAATAAAGCAGAGGTCTCTGAAGACAGTTTAGAGGAACAAAAGGAGGGAAGAAGAGTGGGTGAAAAGGGACATAAAACAGCAGAAGAGTGGTCTGCTCATTTTCTGCTGTGGGTTTAATCTTGCTGAATTTAAGATGTCAAGATGTGTCATTTCATCCTGAGCTATTCCAGGTCCCAGAAGGCTTGCTGGAGCTGACGGGCGCCCTGTGCTCTTAAACCTGACTGATGGGATGAAGAGCAACCTGGCTGGGGACCCATTACACACACAACTTTATAATAGCTTCATACACCCCTCCTTGTTTCTGTCTGACTGAATTTGAACCAATTGTTCTTTTGTCACTAACATTCTTTATGGTTACGATAAACTAGATGTTGCAGGCCCTGCTACAGCGACATGACACAAATAAATTGAAAGGGTAATAAAGTTGTCTGACTTGGGCCAAAATGTGAGCACACAGTGCACGGACTACAAGAATCCAATAAATGATTTCTCTCCCAACAGCTGGCAACCCTCTGTTTTGTCTTTGACACTGAAATATTGATGAAATAAACAGGATGACAAAGACCCACCATATCAGAGGAATCTGAATTTTATGACTGTTCCGTTTCCCTTCGAGAGACGACTTTAACTTTGTTTGGTGCAGATGGAAATGCAGCAGGCACTCAACAAATCAGATTAGGTAGCCACAACAACAATGTGCTTACATAAAGGAAACAGGTTTGTTTGGTGATCAGCAGGGCCCTACCCATTCTATTAAAGCCATTGTGCTGTTAAAGTTCAAAACACATACTTGAAGGAAATCTGACTGTAGGAGGTTCAATGTTTAAAAAATACATTTAAAATCTTTATGGCATGACTCTTCTAATTTATTTCATGGATGTTTTGTTGGTTTAAAATAAAGCTAAGCCTGAGCCTGATGGTTTGTAAGTGTGCTTCAAATGTTAAGTTAGAATCAGCAACATTTATGATACTTGATTAATCATTTAAGTCCACAAAAATGCCCAAAATGCACTGGCTCCAAGGTCTCAAATGTGATTATTTGCTGTTATTCCTCGCTTTTTATTATGGTAAATTAAATATCTTTGAGTTTGAACTGTTAATCACACAATCTGAAGACATCATATCAGGTTCAAGGAATCTGTCAGATATGAAACGAGTCACCAGTCAACCAGAAAAACAATATACAGATTCATTGCTAAGTTTCAGTGCATTAGTGGAAGTTTGCTCTCTTTGAAGACAATTAGGAAAATACAGTTAAGATCTGAAGCTTCAGAATTCAGAATTGTTTCCTTCACTATTGCCGCTTGTCGGCCCCCATCTGCTTTTTTTTTTTTTTTTTTTGCAGATTCAGCATGTTTAATCACGATGGACGAGCCCGTCGGTGAATGAAATCACTCTGATTGGCGGTTCAGCTCAGCGCACGAGAAGAGAGACAGAAGTGAGGAGAGTAAACAAATCGCTCAAGTCAAGAGGGAATGAGATCGAAACAAACTTGTGACATAAGGTCAGGTGTTTTTTTTAATCCACTGAGCTCTTTGACAGAAATGTTTCCTCATTGTTTGTGTTATAGTTCACTGGTGCAGAGTGAATATGCTCCGTTCTTTCTACATTAGGTTGTAATGTTCACATGCTAACTGGATACCTAGCATAATGACAGTCTACAGATATTCCAGACTACCACCTTTTGCTAGTGTGGAGTTATTTCGTCCCATGCAGGGGCAGAACGTACGTGCTAGTTGGTTGTCGACTATAGTCTTTGCGGCATGTTCATGTGCAACTTTTTGGACAAGGCCCAGGTGATGTGAGATGACACAACAGTTTTTGCCGCTAGTCCTTTGAAGACAGTTTAGCATGTCTGGGCCTTTAGATGCATACCTCAGGGCTATAATACACCATCTTATTCATTCATTTCCTTCAATTTAGCACTGAGCTAAAGAAAAGCTTCATGAGGCTTCATTTGGCCATCACTAATAAAATGTAATAATGTTACTGATGTTAGTTTGAATAAATGTAGACTCAATGAAAACTTGGTTTATTGAAGCTTACTGTGAAATTAACATGGTTGTGTCACGCCTGGGTGTCAGGTACATTCTTAATATTGGAGGGTTTTGGTGACCGTAGCTATGGCTTAGATCATTTAAAAACAGAATGTGAGCATGAGAATGATGAGGCTATCCCAAGAGAAGTTTGAACTGATGACTAGATACAAGATGATCTCACAAGCAACATACTTTCCTGGAAAAGCTCAGCCTCTGGCTGTTGTAGCCATGGTTTAAGAAAACAAAAGGAGGTGCCATGACTTCCAAAAGCTTGTGGATGCTATATAAGTATTTTGGTTTGTCCAGACACAAAATCACTACAGCTTGACTACCGTTCTCAAAAAAAAAAAAAAAAATAAATAAATAAATAAATAAATAAATAAATGGAGATGCCACATTGATCACAAAACGACAGAACGGTGCGCACAACCATGTTGCAATGGCTGGGAGCAAGCGCCTGTGATTTGTGATTACTGTGCTGGCTAATTTGGGTTTGGTAGGTGCCAGTATGATAAATTATAGTAGCCCATGTGTAAGATAGTTCAGTATAAACAGGCCACAGTGAATTACATTAATACATTTTAGGCATTTTACATCTAAAAATGATTTTAAAAACATGGCTTAATCTGTGTTTTATAAGTGTTGGTTTGCCTAAAACCTGAGGTGTGTATGTATGTATTATTTGAAATAAACATGTGCATTTATGTGTTTAGGAAGAAAATTCTATTTTCCAATATTGTGTGTGTGTGAAGGTACATGTATTCGACCCATTTTTCAACATTTTAACACATTTTTTGATAAAATAATTTGTCAAATTATCTAAGAAATAATCAACAGATTAGTCGACAATGAAAATAATCGTTAGTTGCAGCCCTACGTTGTATATCTACTACTCGCACGCACGGAACAGAACATCTAGAGTGCACGTTTTTCCCTGACAGTTTTGGCAGTGGACTAGGTGCTGTTTATCAGCTGTAGCATGCTAGTTAGCTTAGCCCAACACAACAATTTGTAGCTAAATGTATGCCAGCATTGTTGAACTGAAGTTGGGTGTGTCTGTGGGAACAGAAACGAAACGAGACAACAACAGACTGGAAGGTGAGTCCTTCTCCCCAAAGTGTTCAGACAGCCTTCCACTGCAGATTCAGACTGCGCCAAAGTCATAACTATGGATGGAGTGTTTGTGGCTGCATGTGCGACCACACTCACATATACTGTACGTCGTAATTAATACCAAATTAAAGCTCATGGTCAAATTGCTTGAGTCCCAATATGTGTCTTTACTTGTGCACTTTAATTTGTCCATTGTGCCTGCACTGTATAAGCAAGTGCAAGCTGCAGTTTAAGAATTATTAACAGGTCAGAGTCTCATTACTGACAAAAAATCTATTGTTTTCTGCCTTTTTTTCCTGCCGTACTGTAAAATACATCGAACCATGACCCCAAAACCAATGTGAATACCAAACCATCAATTTTGTGCACCCTTACACCCCTATCTAATATCAATATCTCCGATCTCAAGCCATTTGTCTTGTTGAACTGCAGCACTCTACAAGCAATAACAATGTGCATGTTGTTTCATAATGGAGCAACAAACACACCTACAGTGTCCAAGGCACGCTCATGTGATCTGTGTAGTGAACACTAAGCAAAAACCAACGCAGGAAACTCACCTTCACTCCAACTGCAACATCACTGATGCTGAAAAGAGAAACAATTTTCACGTGATCAAAATGACGGGATTTAAAATAGAAAAAGACAGTTAGATACACAATCATCTGATGTGTGTGAAGAGTGTAATTGTGTGACAGTTGTATGTTCTGATGCATCACATATTTAACAGACTCCTACGGGATTTTTGTGACAGTACGTCTCGGAGAAGTTTAAAACTAGTTCACTTATATCCACCTACAAGTCCTGCAGTACTTTAACTCCCACTGAGAGCCAAAGCTGTTTGGTTGTATGTTGTTCACATCCTACAAACACATCTCCAGTGCTTCACTCTAAGCAGCGCATGCATCCTGATACCAGTACTTGTTAATTCACACTTCCCACTTACACATACAGATTACACTTTTTTTTAATGTTGTGTACTACTTATATCTGTGTCTGTATAACCACATGAACATGATCTGGCTCCTGGCTGTCATGCTGCTCCAACTCCTTCCCATGGGGCTCATTTATGATTCATCACCTCTTCAAGTAACATTGAGATCACGCTCCATGCGCGATCTACCCACAGCCTTTGACTGACACACCCTACTACACTTAATATAACCTTAATATTAGACACTTTAAAGCAAACACAGTGTGACACTACGGGAATAATAGCACAGCTGGGTACCATTTAACACCGAACAGCTCCGCTTGGTAACAAAATTTGTCCAAGCGATGTTAGTGATATGAAACCATGACTCAAATCATGCTTTGAGAGGACACTATACATTGACTGGACACGCTCGGTCAGCTAAGCTAGCGCGTTAGCTACAACACAAAGGACCGACGTTACTGTAAGGTTACGTTAGTTAGCATAACGGTTTGCTAAACTTCATTAGCCGCTGCGTTAGCACAGCGCTGCAAACACTACAGTGGACAATGAGCTGTTGTGGAGCTGTATCAACACGTCTACCTGTCACACACACCAATTATATTTACCAAATAAACGTAAGCTAGCAATGCAGCGCGTTAATAAACAGCGAGCGTTAGCTAAGTTATGCTAGCATGCTAACATTAGGCACTTCCTTAATGGAAGGCAGCGCGTGGCTATGGAAACCCGTTAACACAAGCACACGACTCCTCCTCAGCTTCCCCTCAAAATGACGCATTCACTCACTCGTTGCTCCGCAAAACATCGATATAAGTCACATGAGATGGAGTTAGCATCGCTGATTAAATATTACCCGTCCATTTCTGTGGAAATTTCTCAGCGCGTCCGCTTTCGGGTCCTGTTTTCTTTCCAGTTTACACCGACACTGCGCACGCACACACACACACGAGAGTAAAATGGAGGCAACATCAAATTGGAAGACGATGCAGTGGCGGAAATGGACGGAAAGTGCCGAAGCCACTGAGCGCGCTGCCCACAGTGACCAAAGGCACATTTGTAATTATAGTTCACTGAGGAAATATTTAGACAGGGACGTGTTGGCTATTAATGACGATGCTTTTTGGTTTTGATCTCCCTTTATTCTATAAGAAAAGAAAATATATTTACATTTAATAAATTGTCATAAATAAAAGGATAGAAATTTGCTAAGATGTTTAAACAATACACCTACCTCTGCCATAGAAGAACAAAGGGGAGAGAATGTGAACAACCAAAACAATATCTTTATGTCAGTAAAATACACAGAGGCTACTTGGGAATAATGCTTGATGAAATATGCACATGGGACTTACATTTTAAAACATACAAACACTGTCATTCCTCAGAAGCAACCCTTTCTTTTAGCTTTGTCTCGTGCCCTCAGCTTGAATGTTTTTGGTCCGATGTCTTCAACAGCGTCTCAGAAAACATTAATATTTTACCAGAGCTTGTGTTACACATTCTGGGTCTATCTAAGGCATTGAGACAGCCAAACAAAAATTTCCCTCCTACTGCAACATTACGCCAAAAACACTACTAGGGGAACACAGGGCACAACTTAACATGGGTTAAATTGTAACATGGACTTTTTACGTGGTTACACAGGGTCGATCCTTTCGTGCTTCCTGCCAGTTGACCACAATACCACCAAACAGTAGTGATGGCCAAATGAAGCCTCATGAAGCATTTTCTTTATTTTCTAAGCCCACTAGATGGCGCTCATGGTTTAAAGAGAGAGGCCCTTTTTAAACAGGAGTTGTGCAAATTTGCAGGAAAGCCCAATCAGTCTTTTTTCAGCATTGGCAGTATAAAAACAAAATCGGGGAGTGCAGCAAAATGCCGCCTACCTACTTTTGTTTATACAGAATGTGCCTTTTTCGGGGCAATGGGGGGCGTGAGCAAGTAACAAAACGTGTAGCTCAGCGTGTGACGTAAACAGTGACGTGGGAGGGAAGCCGCGGCTGGTCAGTCCTTCAGCGATTCTCTCGTAAGTCGGCCCGTTCTTCACCGTCCCCGTCATCTGACGGTTAATGGCCTCTTCGTTTGCGAGGGCAAGGAGGGCGCGCAATTCCTTGTCTCCCCAGTTGCTCATCTTTACAGTGTCTGTCAGGTTTGTGTTTCCCTCTTGCTACTAGCTGCTCGCTAATTCCTGCTATCAGCTGTTTCCTGTTTATCCACCGCCAGTGGCTCGCACGTGCAGTGTCATCAACAGCTCCTCCCACAATTCTTCAACAGCCCCTCACGTTGCGGAAGGCCGCCTCGGTTTGTTTAAACCAAAAAGGTTCCACCAATATGTCTACCCTACGAGGCAGAAAATTCGGCACCTCGGATCAACTCGCCAATCCGGCTCTGTGTGTCTAAACGATCGCAGCTTGCCAGCAAAACGGCCCAACATTCGCCGAAAATCTGGCAGAGTAAAAGGGGCTGGAGGCTCAAAGAATGGCAATTCAGTGTGCTTTCAGCCTTTTGTTGAACAAAAAGCGTCATCTAGTGGGCTCATGAAATAAAGAAAATGCTTTATGCAGCTTCATTTGACCATCACTACCAAACAGTGACCCCCAAAATTCCACAGGGATTGGACGTGTTTCAGCTGAGTTCAGTAGCAAAGCATGTTTTCAGCCAACATAAGTAAATTTCTTTGCCATACTTGTTTTTCGATTACTGACCTGTCTCTGTAAGTCACTGAATCCAACCATATATTATCTTAACAACTGTCTTGTTGCCTTAAACATAGCACCACAACTATGTAACTAACTCCCAGTATTAAAAAGGCTTGATAAAATGTCCTCACAGCGGGGTTAGTTGTAATGCGGTGATACAACGAAGCCACCTATAGCGCATTTTCTCTATTTTTGCACTTTGAACTTATGTTCAGTTTGAACTAATGTCCTTAATTAAATGAGATGTACTTTGTATTTTCAATTTGTCAGGTATCTTATTGGCACAGTTTCACAGTCTTGTCAATATTCATACATTCAAACCTCATATTTTGACATGTGGATCTATGTTACCCAATCTATGTAGCCTACATCTATGGGTCCAACCACTGAATATGGATGATAGACTACCCTTCCCCGATGTAGATGGAGACCTATATAATAAAGATAGAATTGTGTTGAATTAATTGTGATAAACAGTTAACCCTACTAATGGGATACGATGCAACATTTCACTTCCATCACTTCTGGTGCAATTGTCAAAGAAAGGTAAGTTCTAGAAAAAAACATAACTGTTTATTTGTAGTAGCAATATTCATGTTGTTAGAATAAAACAAAAAAATCATCTCAAACATTTTTAATAACATTCAGCCCAAACTAAAATGTGCTACGTTGTGCCCTGCTCTCTCCTACTCATGTCATGGAAAGGAACAACAGCTCCATCCTACAATATGTGGCCACGCGAGCTGACCAGTACAGAACATTTGGAAAGTATAAGATTCATCTTAAAGGACAGACTCCCACAATATATCACAATCTGGCAACCTCTCATATCATATGTTGCACATTCTTGCACAAAGCACCGTTCCTGGGTTGTAACTCACTCTCCTACAGCATTCCTTTTTGAGTGTGGGTTAATGAGTGAGAAGGGTAGTGGATAAGGGAATAGAGGGAGTTAAGGAAGTCCTGTACCTTTTCTCTTTTTTTTATCCCTTTACTTACTTTATGCATATTTCATGATTCTATGTTTTGTTCTGTTTCCATGTTCACGTTCCTGTGTTCCTGCATCTGTGAACTTATTATTTCAAAAGGCTTTTACGTAAAAAGAATTGAGCACTGATACTGCAACATGATATATGTAATTTCATCTTTGGCTCAATAAAAATACTTGAAAAGACAATAAAGAAAAACCATAAACGAAATGTAAAAACATTGTTAATATCATGAGGGTGATATCAGGATATAAATGGGGAGCAGGTAGGCAGGCATCCATAGATATACACTGTTCAAAAAAATTAAGGGAACACTTTAATCACACGTCAGATCTTGATGAATGAATTATTCAAGTTGAAAATCCTTACTGATGTACACTGTATAATTTGTTGAGAACAAAATGACGCCACAACAGTCAGTGGAATCCAAAATCATCAACCCACTGAGGGCTGGATTCAAAATCACACTGAAAATCAAAGTGAAAAACTGAAATCACAGGCTGATCCAACGTGTGTGAATTTTATCACGGCAACTCATAATGTGACTCAGTAGTAGTGATGGCCAAATGAAGCCTCATGAAGCATTTTCTTTATTTTCTGAGCCCACTATATGGCGCTCCTGGTTTAAAGAGAGAAGCTCAAAGAATGGCAATTCAGTGTGCTTTCAACCTTTTGTTGAACAAAAAGTGCCATCTAGTGGGCTCACAAAATAAAGTATATGCTTAATGAGGCTTCATTTGGCCATCACTACTTTTTCGGCCAATTGAGCATGTTGAATTAGCGACCGCGGAGCCCGTCGGTGAATGAAATCTCTGATTGGTAGTTCAGCTCAGCACATGAGAAAAGAAACAGAAGTGAGGAAAGTAAACAAAGTCAAGAGGGAGGGAGACCAAAACAAACTCATGTGGTGGGCTCATGAAATAAAGAAAATGCTTCGTGAGGCTTCATTTGGCCATCACTACTCAGTAGTGTGTTCAGTCTGTGCATGCCTGTATGCACTCCAGACAATATCTGGACATGCTCCTGCTGAGTCTGCGGAAATTATAAACTGACCACTGGATTATTATCACCCTATGAAGCTCATATAATGTGTTACCAACACATACAGTTACACATTTAATTACAGTTACTTTGGAGTTGTGTTTGTGTCTGCCTGATGAAGATACGTCCAACATTCACTCTTCTTTCACCTCTGGTTTGGTCTCCACCAACTCCTGAGGGACATTTCTGTCTCTCTGGCTGCTAAATGCTCCACTATGTTCACCAGCTGGTCTGTAACTGTGTCTACCTGCTGTTTGCTGCTGAGCAGGTAGAGTACAGTGGGTTCATCAGAGTGTTTTCACTGTGAACAGCTGCCTGTTGGAAAGGTTGTGTAAAGCAGCAGGAGTCAACCAAAACCGTAAAGTTGGCAGACCATAAAAACCAAAACACTGAGGTGAAAAAAGACAACAAGCTCTGACAGCTGAGGGCCAACACTTTCACATAGTCATCTGGTCTTTTTTAAAATATAAACTGATGATTAGCGCAACTTTAAAATGCCTGACTGACATTAAGGCATATATTTTTGTTTTTAATGTCCTTTGAACATCATGAGACTTCACCAGACGTCTCCTGGTCATTTAAAACTTCCTGAAAATGTTTGATTGGCACAATGAAAAACATTTCCAGGATGTCAAGGGAGCCGTACACACGAACACTCAGGGGCTTCATTAGGACCATTCAGACAATGTTTCTGTTAGCTGGGCAGTTAGGGACTCCTTCTGCATGCGAGGGGAAAGGAGAGGAGAGGAAAAAAAAACAGGGCAGTTTTTGCATAATGATTAATCTTGACAGACATACGTCATGCTCCTGGGCTCCTGACAACGTCACGCCCTGGGTGAAATTAACGCCTAACTGCTTATCTTAAAGGACCTGGGATTTAATTAAAAATGACATTTCCCCAAAGACTTGCGCCTCTGAGGCTGCCATGTTGAAATTAGCTGATGAGGGGCCCTCTGAGCAAAAGGGAAATAAGCAAACTGTCAAAAGCTCAGCAAATCACTGCCGTTTATCAGTCCTGCTCGCTGCTCAGGAAATAACAGTGGACTTACATCCTGCATGGAGCCCGCTGCACCGCAGATACAAGTCATATTTTTATTAAAAAGGAGGGGGGGGGGGGGCACAAAAAAAAACAAGCCTGTCAAATGTGATATGGAGACAAACAATGTGGTTGTGCTAAGTAGGGGAATAGGTTGCTGAAATGAGCTCTTAAGTCACCACAGACATATTTTGCCACTGACAAAGACG